TATAAAACAAAGTGTCTGGAACTTCTACTGATGTGTCAACACGACATTGACCCGCACAAAACTACGGACGCTTTGTCCTACAGGTCCCAGGTTCGAATCCCAACAGTAGGGGACAAGAGTAGTAAAAATCCTTATCCTAATAAGGTATTTCTTAAGAGACAGCTTTAATAAAAAAAATAAAAAGTAGTCACCGTGGCTCAGGCGGTAGCGTCCGCGACTCTGAGGCGGCAGGTCGAGGGTTTGCGCCCCGCCAAGGTCTGAGGTTAGCAAAGGCATGCACTCGGGGTAACGATTACATCTGCCAACACAAGTCCTTCGCAAGAAGGCAACCGTCCTAGCTCTAGGTAGAAAAGGGAGTCCGTGACGTAAAACATGCTTCATTTATCTGCAGGTGTTTTCTGGGGTTATTCATCTTAGTAAAAATACCTAAAATACTGATGGTATTTCTATTTCCAATGTTTAACTAATTGAAGGTGTTAGTGGGTTTAGCAACCTTGAAGAGGTCATATGCAAGATTTATTTTTTTTGGGGGGGAATAGTTCGGGCGTTTTTCATTCATACAAGATTTATTTTTTAATCAATACCGAATATTACTGAATACTCGTTAAAAATGTCTAATTATCCCTTCACACCTACCAAGTCACAACACTCCCCATCTACTTCTCTTTGTTTTATGTTTTCTTCGTACCCGGGCCCGATGAGGGCAGACATTTTTATTGTTTTTTTTTCCTCGTCCTAGTGTCATAATCATTAAAAAAAATATATTTTTCTTTATATAATTTATCATAGTGTAAATACTGGGATATTTATCTAGTACTGACACCCAGAATGATTCATCTATTTTAGGGATTCATGCAATTTAACAAGGTATTTTTGGCATGCACTCAGGGTAACGATTGCATCTGCCAAAAAAAAGTCCTTCGCAAGAAGGCAACCGTCCTAGCCCTTGGTAGAAAAGGGAGGCCGTGACGTAAAACCGAAACAGTTGTGGGGCTTTAGTATAAATACAAGGTTAATTACCTAGTAGACATACAAGGAACCATTCATCTATAAAAAGTGTTTTTAGTGGTTTATCTACTCTAACAAGGTGTTAAATAGGGTTTTTCAGGTGTCCTCTATATTTTTTTTTAATATCTTAGGGTCTTTTGAGGGGTTATTTTAGTTTTAAAAGCCATGGGTTAGTAATGTACAATAATATTCAATTATATGTTCAGTAGTCGCCGTGGCTCAAGGTAGCGTCCGCGACTCTGAGGTGTCAGGTCGAGGGTTCGCGCCCCGTCACGGTCTGAGGTTAGCAAGGGCATGCACTCAGGGTAACGATTACACCTGCCAAAATAAGTCCTCCGCAAGAAGGCAACCGTCCTAGCCCTTGGTAGAAAAGGGAGTCCGTGACGTAAAACCGGAACAAACAAACAATAATTCTATTTACAAGTGCCATAATCCCCTTTATAATGGGGGTGGCCTAACTTCGAATCTGCGAAGGGGAAAATAAAAATGAGGGGCTACCCACTTCCCTAACTCCGCCCCATTTAATAAAGTTTTACTACACGCAGGGGTACACGGAAGGGGTATTCCTAACCCATCCACAAAATACCGATGGCGCACTTTCATTTTAAGTGATCTTTTTAATTTTTTTTTTTTCAATGCTAAATTTACGTTTTGCTCGGTTCGATTATCGCTCAACGATGATCGTTCATGGCTCAACGATGATCGCCATACGATTATCTAGAACACTCATTCTTTGTTTTTGAATGAGGCTGTTTTCCTTCGAGCGGCAGTCTCTCGAAGTAAAACAGCCCAATTCAAAAACAAAAAATGAGTGCAGTGTAGACAATCGTTTGACGATCATCGTTGACCCATGAACGATTATCGTTGAGCGATAATCGCACCGAGCAAATCGTTCTTTAAGGCTTTATCTAATGTCATATATTCGAACGATCTTTTGAGTATTGCAAAAAACAAAGCAGAAGTAATCATATTTTCCTCTATATTTACAGGAACTAGAACACAGTGGAAGATTCAATATACTCTTGTACTACCTTCACAGAATCTTGAGGCCAGTATAACTTTATTAATTGTATTATTAAGATGATTATTATTACTATTTATTATTATTATTATTATTATTATTATTATTATTATTATTATCATTATTATTACTACTACTACTACTATAGTTGTTATTATTATTATTATTATTATTATTATTATTATTATTATTGTTACCGCTCATATTGTTGCTGTTGTTGTATTCGTATAATCATATTCGCATATTATTAGTATATAAAAGTAGTATTGGTAGCAGTATTAACATTATTATTATTAGTAGTAGTAGTAGTAGTGGTAGTAGCAGCAGAAACAGCAGTAGTAGTAGTAGTAAAAGTAGTAACAACAAAATTAAAGACTTTATATATATATATATTTTTAAGATATTACGAATATTTTTTTTTATCTCGCATCACATATACGTCACAGAATTAATAAGTGTTGATATCATTTTTAAGTATTTACTTATATAATTAAGCATGTAATAACTCACTTAAATAATCTTTCATTGACTTATCAATCTATTCTATTTTTTACTTGTTTATTTGTTTATATAGTTATTTATTTGTTATATAAACAGCTATTCATTTACTTTCACTTATTTTTAGGTTGCTGCCACCTATACTTCTTTTATGTGGGTTTATGGCCATCTTTCCCAAGTTTTTGGTTCACGGACCCTTTGCTCCCAGCATCGACCAAGAGTACTCTCCCGTAGACAACTGTAAAAAATACTGGTGGACAGATTCCCTGTTTATCAGTAACTTCTATATGACAGATACACCGGAAAAAACGGTAAATATTATCATTAATATTATTATCCTCCTCCTCCTCCTCCTCCTTCTTCTTCTTCTTCTTCTTCTTCTTCTTCTTCTTCTTCTTATTATTATTATTATTATTATTATTATTATTATTATCATTATTATTATTATTATTATTATTATTATCATCATCATTATTATTATTCTTATTATTATTCTTATTATTATTATTTTTATTATTCCTATATGGGAATTCCAAATATTCCTAATTCCTAGTCTGTAGAGGCAATATGGTAGAAATATTAATAATCTGAGAGTAGATGTAACATGGTAGAAATATTACTTATCTACGAGTAGACAGGACAAACAATAATGATTTCAGAGTAAACAGAACAATGAATGATAATATCACATTAGACAGAACGAATAGTGATAATACTTTTAGACAATAACCATAAATAATTCTGGATTAGACAGAACAAATATGATTCATTATTTTGGAGTAAACAGAGTAGTCACCGTGGCTCAAGCGGTAGCGTCCGCGACTTTCAGGCGTCAAGTCGAGGGTTCGCGCCCTGTAACGGTCTGAGGTTAGCAATGGCATGCACTCAGGGTAACGGTTACCTCTGCCAAAACAAGTCCTTCGCAAGAAGGCAACCGTCCTAGCCCTTGGTAGGAAAGGGAGTCCGTGACGTAAAACCGGAACAAACATTTTGGAGTAGACAGAATAAATATGATTAATTTTGGAACAGACAGAACAAATGTCAATAAATTTAAAATGGAAAATATAATGTTAATCATTTTAAAATAAAACACATAATATTTTATTATTTTAGTATAGACGAGCAAATAATAATAATAATAATAATAATAATAATAATAATAATAATATTAATAATAAAAATAATAATAATGATAATAATTGTAATAATAATAATAATAATAATTATTATTATTATTATATTAACAATAATAATAATAATAATAATAATAATAATAATAATAATAATAATGAATCTCTTAGAATAAACAAGGCGAATGATAATAATTTTAGAATAGACAGAACATATAATAATTCTAGAATAGACAAAAAAAAAAACAATGATAACTTCAGAACAGACAGGAATTATAATGTTCAGGCCTATGGGATAGCATAGTGGTCAGAGCTCTCGACTCGGAAAGACAAACCCACGTTCGAGCCCACCGCGGGGCGTTAGGAAGGGCATCCAGCCTCGATTCCCAAGCTCCAACCTTTCTGAAACCCCCCCTATTAGAATGGGGGATTAATCCAGACACATAAAAATGGCCAAAATAAAATCATGATAAACTGGGAGCTGGCTCTTCTCAACAGCGAAGAATGGTTAGGCTAGGTAAGGTTAAAATTTGAGATTTAAGGCAAATCTCAAATTCTAAACTACCTTAACTTAACTTAACCTAACCTAACCTCTCTTCGCTGTTGATAAAAGGCTGATACCAACTCTTCGGGAGCTTTAAAAAAAAAAAAAAAAAAAGTCCTGCCTGCACTGAACTAAAATATGTTCCTTTCCTACAGTGTCTAGGTGTTACTTGGTACACTTCAGTTGACTTCCAATTGTACGCCGCAACACCTGTGTTCCTTCTTCCATTCATACTCATCAAATTTTGCGATTTGAAACATCACTGGCATATGAATGCAGGTAAGGAGCACTAGATTCAGGAAGGCAGAATTTTCGAAAACCTAAATTGTTCTCAAGCGCGTGTACACATACATACATACACACACACACACACACACACACACACACACACACACACACACACACACACACACACACACACATATATATATATATATATATATATATATATATATATATATATATATAATAGTCATTGTTCAAAATCAGTCAATTTGTAAATTGCCAGAAATTCTCAGTCAATTTGTAAATTGCCAGAAATTCTCAGTCAATTTCTGAAGCGCCTAATATTAAACAGTGTCCGTAGGCCCGAGGTTCCCAATGTGGGGCACACGCCCCACAAGGGGCAATTTGATTTTTGAGGGCAATTCGAGAATATTTTATTAACAGTGAATTTTTTTCTAGTGAATCTGTGTGAGTGAGTGGGACTTAATACATACGGTGCATATACGGTATGCATACATAACAGTATTTGAGTGTATGTATGTACATGTGTAATTGGTTCACAAGGTACTTACCG